AAGAAGAAGAAGAAGAAGAAGAAGAAGAAGAAGAAGAAGAAGAAGAAGAAGAAAGAGGAGGAGGAACACAACGATAGCAACAACCAAGACGAAACTAAAGCAGCAGCAGCAGCAAAGACAATAAAATACAGCAACATCAACATACCACATCTACAACAACCTCTACTCGACCAACACACACCTGTGTAACCACTGCATGTTGAGAGCTCCTCACACTAGAAAACGCCTCCTCCAGCCGCTTGAACTGAAGCACCAGATCTTCCCCTTCGTCCTCGCCAAGGTCCGTCCAGTCTGAAGGGTCAATCTGTTCCATCGACGTGCTCGTCATCTTCCCACTCATCAACACCTCCACAGTACCCCTGTCCACGTCGGTGCTGCGAGTTTTGTTGTCAGCCACCATCGTTCCTTTGGGAATACTTCTGGGCACAGTTAGCCGGTCACGCCATTGCTGTCGTCAACATTTATTTGGCTAAATAAATAATGCCTTTTTGACCTCGAAGTTTTTGGTATAGCTCTCCTTTTTTGGGTCATGTATACTTGAACTTTTGAAGAATCACAACCTTGTATTTTAAAGACCAATGAATATCGTTCATTTTAATCTGTAACAGATAAAGCAGCAGTTTATGCACAACAAAAATTCACTTTTAAGAGTGTACATCTGCGAGGTCACGCGCCCTAAACCTTCGGCAACGGTACATAGATAGGGGACACAATTCATTGAGTCAAAAGCAATCGTGTTGACATTGGCAGAGTTTCCCCCCTTGGACATGAAATTGCGCCCCATCCCCCTTTAAAAAAACAACAACAATTAGTTGATTCTTTCAGGAAGTTTAGCCTTCGCGATAAACATGTCCTCACTGAAGATGCCTGGAAAAAGCTATAATTTAATTGGTTAATTTTGGATATAGAACGCATGTGTTCAGTTCACAAGCAAGATATTTCACCAAGTATCTTCGCCTTTTTTCTGCTGAGATGAAGAATCCTACAAAGCTGGTTTTGTTCATGGCAGGTGAGATAGGAGAAACCAGTCTCTATACTGATTGAAATTGTGTTGTTTGAGTATGACTCCTCACCCCCCCCCGACCATTTTAAAGGCTATCCAATCAAGTCTTGATCTTTTTGTGCTTTCTTACATCTATTATGATTTCGGAAGAGTCAGAAAACGATGCCCACTTGGTAAAACGGGACACGCCGATGGGTACAACCCCCCCCTCCAAAAAAAACAAACAAACCCCCAACCGATTAGATCGCCTTCAGCCTAAAAAACTGTTATGTTAACAAACGATGTAGGCTCCATGTATCTTGAGTAGACCGGCGATGGTCTACTTGAAATTGGTTCCTGGTGCTAACTTGCTCACCTTGTTATTAGACTCCCTTTACCCTTCTTAGGATTGAGCACTTCTAGTCTAGGAGTATACATTGTGTGTTATTGGCACAGACTGATAGAAACTCCCGTTATCCTATAAGCTTACAGGATGCTGAAACTAGAATATTTCAGAGTCGTTAATAATGTGTTTCCGTTGTACAACACAGATAATGGAAACTGTCTCCACTTCTGCTGAAGAGAAAAATCCACTTTTATTCAAGATCTCTGTTCAGTTTTTGATTTTGTCATTACAGTTGTTCCTTAGACTAAGACGATCTAATTTCAGATCTCAAACTAAACTTCAAAGGGAAATATGGCCTCTCAATCCTTAGTACTTTTCTAAGATTAGTCTTCACCATATTTAAACCATTGATTTGTGATTTCAGCTACACTATACTAAATCTAGATCTAGATAAAATGTAGAATTACATCTAAATCTAGGGCCTATCCTTGGATGAAAAAGAAAACTGGCGTTTCCGTTTCTCCAAAAAAAAAACCCAACTCCCTTCGACGGACGTCAGGCTATTTATAGAATTATTGTAACTGCACTAATGCGTGCGGGAAGTAGGCCGATTCTGATCTTGTAACGACTTCTTGCTAAACAATAGATCTAGTCTCTTTAGGATAGTATAATCTAGTTTTCTGCAGATACTTTTTCTATAAAGCCTTTATCCAGGAAAAAGAAATAATCCATCAAATCAAATTTAGAGAGCGGAAATGCTTACCACATTTCTCTTGTTTTGTTGTGGTATCGCGAAATTCTCGCGTCAATGACGTACCCACTTCTTGCCCTTATTTAGAATTCTTTTTGTTTGGCGCACCGCTCAAACTCGGTCATATTGCACACCACGTTTTTTTTTTCGTCCCTTTTCAAGGGGAGACGCTAGAGCTTCTGAGACAACACAATTTTTATGAGCAGCTATAGTACAATTTTGATTGATTTTCTGTCAATAAAGGGTTGCTAAAAATATCCAAGAGGACTATTCAAACCTTCAGTACCTTCTAGTTGCTACACGGGGTCAGATTGTGGTCCCAGGCCACATCTTTCCCTGAAAAAAACAATATAAAACATAAAGCACTTGTGTTAAAGCATCTCACAAGTACCATTTTGTTCTACAAAGAAAATTCTTTAAATAAGGACCACCAAACGCTCACAATTTTATTGACAGGCAGACCGCAATATGTAAAGCTGAATAAAACAAAATCTGACAAAATCCTTTGTAGCATCGGCAGTGTTATTGGATTAATAAAACGTATGTTTTTTAAATGGTGCAATTCACATTTTCTAAAAGTGAACCTCTCAAAAACTAAGGACATGATTTTTGATTTTAGAAGAGAAAAACCAACAATCCTACCACTCGTAATTGAACATGAAACAATTGAAATCACGGATTCATATGATATCTTGGTCTTACATTCGACAACAAATTTATATGGCAAAATCACGCAAATAATATCGTTGAAAAGGTAAATCAGAGGCTGCACTTTCTGAGAAAACTTAAGCCTTTCAATCTGAATCCATATATCCTTCAGATATTCTACACCACCACAATAGAAACTTTGATAAATTTTGGTATCTCTTGCTATGGTAGAAATTTGGGAAGACAGCACATCATAGAAATAAACAAGTTGATCGGAAAAGCGTCAAAACAATTGGTAGAGATCTAAGTAGCTTTGAAAATCTGCACAAAACAAAAGTTTAAAAAAAAGGCGGAAATAATACACCTACCCACTGACATCGGAATTTCAATTATTGATTGCAGTAAACAATACATTTCCAAAAGAGCAAGAGCAGACAGGTATAGAAATTCATTCGTACCAATTGCCTTGAGGTCTGAACACACAGTGCTACAAATGAAACAGAGAGAGAGAGAG